AGAACCTGCACAAGTGGAATTTGTATCTGACCAACGGAATACGAAGAGAATGAGGGTGGTTTACAATAATAGGAAGCGGTAATTTTCCCAGAGTCTTTAGCGATGGATCGTATGTACGAGTTCTATTGAGGTTTGGATTGAATTCTTCATGTACCTAGTCAACAAATGATATTTTGAAGAAACAGTGTAGGCTTTTGTAAATAGTTACATTAAATCTCTTCACATATTTGACGTTTGTATTAAGACAAATGCTAAGAATTATTAGAAGTCCTTGGGGAAGATTAAGTTTCAGTCGAGAAGTCGAATCTAATACACATTCATCTAAAGAATATAAAAACAATTCACTTTCACATTCTGTGAAGGTGACGAGAAAACCCCCAAAATAATGGAATGGTTCACATTAGCCCAAAAATCTGAACCTAGAGAAAACTTGAGGAAATGCATTAACAGACATGTAAAATTATATCAATGAATATTTGTTAAGAAATCAATAAAATTTACTTTATGAATTTTAAATTCGAAAAATAAAAAAGTTAAAAATATTAATGGGAGAAAAGTTAGATCAGAAGATAAAGCTGCAGTAGAGTTACGAATTGTAAATTAATCCAATTTGTTGAATGTTGTTTTGGTATAATTCTATGGCCTGTCTCTCTTAGATTTATTTATAAATAAAATATTATGTTTCTCTTTGTTTGCCAGGAATTAACTGACATTCAGAAAACAAGTTTTAACTAATATGTTAATAAGGAATGTTAACATAACCTTCAAATCACAATATACGTAAATGCATACACACACACACACACACACACACACACACACACACACACACACACACATGCGTGTGAAAAAAATTCAAGTATAGTTCAGATATAAATAAAATGTATCAGTAAAAAGACAGTATGAATGAGGACATAATTAACTGCATAATTTCTTTACAAACGCGTTTCGACCTATGTCGAACTTCATCAAGGTAAATGTTTGGATTTTTTTTCGGAGAATGTATTTATAAACAGAACTAAAATATTGTTACATTTTCAAGAGAGTTATCCATAGCGGTACTGATGCTAATTTTCTGAAAATTTTACTACAAAGTATTAACTAACCTGAAATGTGAACTCTCCTTTTGGTATAGCAGAAAATAATTGCTTTGTGACAGAGGGCGCGAGTATGCAGGTATGAACAATGGAAAGGATTGAGGTTTCACTTAGTATTTCCGAGAAGGTATGAAACCGTCCATGCCGGCTTGATACAAGAAGAAACCACAATGGCGCAATTCTAAATTGGGTTGATAAAGTGTCAGTCCAAGCGGCGTCACCAAGAAAATCCCGGTGAGTCCAAATCAGCATTTTGGTAAAGAAAAGAGGTCTTATCAATAGGAGGTCCCTTTTTAAGAGATGACTGGGCTGAAATTTCCATAGACAGCACAGTGTGATCCGATTTACAACGAAGGGTGTGTTGCGAAGCTCGGTAAGGGCGAGGAGAGCTTGTTGCTCGTGTTTGCTAGGGAAATAAGTAGGTATATATATATATATATATATATATATATATATATATATATATATATATATATATATATTGAAAAGTTTGGTAATCCGTATGGATAATCCCAAGGAGAATGTAAGAGAGCTCAATGTCAAACCAGATAGTATATTAATTTAATTAGAATTAAAAAACACAGACAACCATAAGGGTCCACTGATTATATTTTATTTCTCCAGTAAGGTGATTTTTTTCTGCTTCCTCAGATCACATTTCTAAGCATAAAAAATGTTTTTAAAATTATGTATTATTTTTTATACGCTTTTGAAGGGAAGTTTAAGTTGAGGTAAGGTGATAGAGAGAAGGGGGAGGATGACGACAGATATGGTCGAAATTAGAGAATGAAAGGAGAGAGAAAGTAATTTTAAATCTATTTTTATTAAAATACTTAAGAGTAAGGGAAGGGTTAAGGACCATACATTGACCTATTTAATAAGTCATTTGACAGGAAAAGAGACAAATAGGAAAAAGGGACAAAGATATAAGAAAGAAAATGTGGAAGCAGGGCTGGGAGGAAAGAGTGGGAAAATGAAGAAACGGAAGAATAAATTAACATATATAGACATATTGTAGTTACTTTCAAAAACACAGATTGATATGATTTAGTGTTAACGCTTGACGTTAAATTAAATATTACCAACAAAATAAAATAGGATAAAGGAAAACAAATATAATGTGAATATAAATGAAACAAAAAATATTAATATTGTTAATAACAACTGAAACATGAATGAAATAATATTTAAAATTTAAAATTTTAAAATTTTAAATTTATCAGTTAAAATTTAAATTTAAAACAACTTAAAAAGTTTCAAATAATATCGAAAAAATATATTATGTAATATCGAAAATCATATTGAAATGAAACAAAATTAAATAATAATAATATTATTATTATAATATCGCAATAATAATAACAATAGTACAAATGAGAGGATTAACGTTAGAGTGATAATGATGAAACTGTAATATTAGCTCAGTTATAACCCATTTAACCATATATATTGATGCATATTTGTACATATAAACACACATGCACATATACAAACCCCTAATGTAGATTGCTATTTTGAGTCGATATCTGTGCCTGCATTGCGGTGATTTAGTAATTCTTTATTAATTAATAAGTAATTATGTTTGGTCATTAAGATTTTCTCCTTAATAATGAGGTCACAACTGTCTCTAAATTTCTTTATATATATATATATATATATATATATATATATATATATATATATATATATATATATAAATATTTTTCTTTGTTTAAGGAGTCATATTTTTAAACAAAAAATATTATTATAATAAAGCACTGTCTTCTTAAAAATAAAAACAAAAATACTAAGGAACTCCGGATTATGCACCCAACGTGTTCTTTTTTCTATTTTCTGCATACCTGCACATATATATATATATATATATATATATATATATATATATATATATATATATATATATATATATATATATATATATATGTGTGTGGGGTGTTTCTGCTAAGTTAGATAAATATTTCGATAAATGGATAGATAGATACATGCAATAGTGCCATTAAAATATATACACAAATAGTCTGTTTCCATCTTTGTTAACCAAAGCAAAACATTTATAATCGTAAAACGGATTCTGAATGTAAGCTCTGATTTTTTCTGCTTTATATTTTAGTGATTATTTTGATTTTTTTCTGAAAATCAATGACGTTCTCCCTTGGCGAAAAGCGGGAAATTTCTCATATACTTTTGTACAGAACAAATTGACAAAACCCACTGTAATAAATCAGTTCTACATCATGGACATAGTACTAAATGAATTTTCCATCTATGGGTATCTGCATTCTTTATTTTATGTCTCTATCCAGGTTAGATTTGGTCTGAATCAGGCAACTTGATGTTTCTAAGCGACATTTATTAGGTTCGAGGTAAAAACTACTGGATAACGTAAGAATAATTTTACTGATGTTGGAGGGAAATGTATATGTCGTATTAAAATGATTTCTGATTCAATAGCAAGTCTATCAAACATATGGGGGCCTTTAGTATTAACCCATCAAGTCTACGTGGGAAATTCCGTATTCATTGTGAAAATTTGACTAAAAAACTTTTTTTAATGATAACTTACTTTAAAAAGAAACCCTCTATTCATAACAGATATATAAAAATAATTATGTTATCAAATATACGTATAAAAATATCTAGTATTGAATATAAGAGCCACTCTAGTAATAGTTAATGTGTTATAGGAAAGATGGCTAACCCAAGACGTGGTGAAGATTGTAGTAGTTGGGAAACCATTCCTCCAAGAGTCTATTCCATAAGCATTGTTCTTGGGAAGAAGCTTTCCGAGTGGATCTTATTTCTTACTAATCGAATACGAGGGGAAATGAAATGATTCAACTTTTGGTAGGTGGCATGTGGGTCCATGTTGTAAAGGCCAGGGTTGATGGGCTTAAAGATTGTAACTCTTTATAATACATGCCATGTAAATAGCGATCCAGCCGCGAGTGATTTGTGACGTATCGTTTGTGGGAAAAGTGGTTGTAAGCCGGAAAATAATCCATCACCAACAAGTCCGCGTAAAAGCTTTTTAATTATATCAAAACAGGCTAGTTAGATGCATCATCTATTTGGAAAAGAAACTCTATAAGATTTTCTGTATATTACGGCTATTATCTCCAAATTTAAACACTACAAATCATACATGTGCTTTCTCCTAATTTTGTTTTAAGTTTTATTTCGTACATTACACAAACTTTTCCAATCATCTACTTTGTTGCATTACCGTTCCCTGATGATAATCACAGGCGGCGAGACTTACAATTAGTTACCCCCCACCCTCGGCAATAATTACAGGCGACGAGAGTTGAAAAAACCAATCGATTTCTCGGTGACTTTTCAGAGTGAAAAGTTGTATTATTTTAATCTCCCAAGACAATGCAAGCCTGAAGGTTGCTTTAAACTCTTCACATTTCGTTTCATTCCTCATTTTTTACTTTTGTCAAATGACCTATCAATATATATGTCAATATCGCAATGGTAAAAGTCTATGTTGTATTATTCCTTTGGACTTACATGAGCCCACTGAATTGCTTGCTGGTGAATTTTACTATGAGAATATGAAATATCATCAAAAGTATTGAAACTAGCAACTACTAGTAACGCTGATTTAACTTAAAACTATATTGTGCGTGTGTGTCATGTAACTTTAAATGCTTCATGTCTGTCTAATGGAAGCTCTTATCGTTTTCAAACCTGATGAATAATTATTTTATCAAATATCGCATAAACACATCAGCGATATTATCCTATATGCATTCATTCATTTAAGATATAAACTAAAAATTCTATATTTTGTTAGTTTCAAATAAAGTTATTTGTTTATTTACTAAAGTAATTAAAGAAACTTTTTTTTTTCTTTTTTGATACAGGAATGCCTATACGACACCCTAAACTGTCCTATGTATGAAGTTGAATAAAGGTATTCATTTTATAAATCTTTATAAACTCTATATCTATGTGTGTCAGTCTTTTTAATTTCTTTGTAAATAAATAAATTATATTGTTATAAAATTGCGCTTATTTCATTAAATAACGTAAATTAGATTAAATTTTGCATATCAGTAATTTAATCATAATTTTAACGGTTTCCTTGTAAGGAAATTTCCGGCTTTCAATGTCCGATCTGCCAGTGCCACTTTCGTAAAAAAATTATAGAATCTTTTTCTTTATTTCATAAAATCTTTCTGTTGATGATTTTTTACTTTTCTTTTTTTTTTTTTTGCTAAAAAGATTCTCAAATTCAGTACATGTTATCTCGCTTTCCATCAGTGGTTTGAGGTTCCATTCTAAACGTTTGTTTGAAGTACGATGAAACTTCAACATCTTCATTATGTTATCCATTTTGGGTGTTGTCGTTGTTGATAATTCTCAAGTGATGCGGTCTGTGTTATTTGGTACAGTGCTTTCTTGATTATTCTTATTTCCATTCCAAGTGTTCAAACAAGGATGGCCATGCAGGAAGGCATAAAATAATCGTACCTAATCGAAAGTAAACAGAAATACCAAAAGGTTTTTCAGTGGAAAATCTTTCAGCAACATATTTTGTGTGGGTGTGTATTTGTGTTTGAATGGATGTGCACATTTTCGGTGTGAGGTAATATATATTTACTTTACATTTCAGTTAAAATATGTCTCTATCATATCACAAATAAACAACAGCACATATATGCACGAAGTAGATATATAAACACGTTTTCAGATATATATATATAGTTTATATATATATATATATATATATATATATATATATATATATATATATATATATATATATATATATATATATAATATTAGTAAACAAATATTCCAAGAGGATAGAATCCAGGTAGAACTCAATGTTCAGGACAGAGAGGATATAATAAAATGTCTTAAACACTAATATTCCATGGTCATAATTTATGCCATTGAATCGTAAATACGATCCAATTCATCAGACCTACAAATTCAAAAGGTCTGATGAATTGATCGTATTTACGATTCCAATGGATAAATTATGACCATGGAATATTAGTGTTTAAGATATATATATATATATATATATATATATATATATATATATATATATATATATATATATATATATATATATATAAATAATATGTGAGTGAAGTAAGATTCCGCTATTCGTAGCATTTAGTTTTTTAAAAGTGCTTAATACAAGATAGACCAATATTTATTTAATTATTATTTTGTTATATATATATATATATATATATATATATATATATATATATATATATATATATAATATTGTTAAACATATATATATATATATATATATCACATGGCCACCTGAGACGGTGTAATGGCTAGCAAACTTGTCTCGTTATAACAATTACGACTCGGTAGTGAGTTCGATCCTCATTACTTTTGGCCTTGTACCATATCTAAGCTGCGCTTGGAAAATCATTATATGTATGTATATGGTGTGAAATATTTGAATCATCGCTATTTTATATTTTTTTTAAGTTCGCGTTGTTTGTTTTTGATTTTCACGACTGCACAGTATATTAAAACCAGATCGGCACAGGTCTGTGAGAAAAAGAGCACAATGACGCAATTCACGTCTACAGAGATTTGGAAACGGTATGCTATACGACTTAGAATTCTCACCGGATGTCAATCTAAAGACAGTCCAAAGGATTCAGAAAGAGTTGGTTGTGTCTAAATGTGATTACGAATGTACAGCAACTAGGAAAGCTCACTTTGATCCTTCTGATGAAAAGAATAAACAACACTTCCAGATTCGTTGTTAACGGTTTCGGATTCAACACAGAGGTCCACATCATGTGTCTAGCCGCCCTGGGTCAAAAGAGTGGCTGCTTGAAAATACTATATCTGGCAACAGGACTCTGCATTATGTTACACAAGCCGGAGGACCCATCCGTTGCTGTTAGACAATGTCTGCGACGACACCACTCTTTACAACTAGCCACTTAGCGTCTCAGACTGCAACCCCATTGATTATTATGTGTAGGGCGCAGTTGAGCGAGAGACCAAAAAATTTGTAACACCAAAAAATAAGCTGAAGGCAAGGGTTACGGCAGCATTCAAAAACGTAGACCGCCCAAAGGAGACACAGGAGATTCTAAAGTCGTCTGGAGGCCATGGTTGAAACCAATGGTGATGTTAACGTATAAAATTACACTTTAGTATTTCATGATATTTTCTTTAATTTTTGTAAATATATCTGCTAAAATGAGATGTCAGTGTTATTTTCATTTTTGCGTAATTTAGGCGTCTATTTATCCACACACACTCACACACACACACACACACACACACACACACATATATATATATATATATATATATATGTATTTGTGCATATAAGCATATACGTCTGTGCGTGTGTGTGTGTGTCTGTGTGTGTACGCGCGCGCTATCAGAGTCATGCGTGGTGCTACACGTGGGACGGACCATAATTTGTTATGTGGCAATTGAAACTCTGTTAAATAAGATATAGTGTGTCAAGGATACTTAGTTGAAGAACACACCTATTTGTAAGAATATTCGAATTGCATTCCAAGATATAAAATTTAGGCTTGATCAGTTTAAGACCAAGTTCTACAATACTATCTAGGGAGAGCGGGAAAAAAGACTAAACATAAACTACAAGAAGGCAGGATGCATGGTAATGATTAAAAGGATGAGCCTAAAATACGATTAGCAGGTTGGGGACATTAAACTCAAACGTGCAAAATTTTAAGTATTTGGGAAATTTTCTGTAAAAAGGACTGTAGGTGAGGCGCTGAAATCCAAAGACGGTTGGCCAAGGATACATTCCAGAAGCTGGGAAGAGAACTGCGAAACAGGAGGATTTCTATGGGGACAAAGAAAAAGTGTACTGAGCGGCTACATGACATCTGTCCTCCTATACGGAAGCCAATGTCGGACGTATCCTCAAGGATGAAGAAGAGAATAGAGGCGGCGGAGATGTGTTTCTGCAGAAGGATGCTGATGATACCATGAACAGAGAATGTGTGCAAGGATGAGGTTTCGGAGAAGATGCAAACTAGGAGGAAGCTTAGGCTTAACACCAGGAAGAGGCAGATTAAATTTCTGGGACACGTGATGAGAAAGGCGGGCCTGGAGATTCTGATATTCATAGGACGAATTGAAAGAAAAAGAGACGGGGAAAGCAGCGTGTGATATACTTAGCGGGCTTGGGCAGCTGGATGGCGGAGCGTGGTCTGAGGGAGTTGGCAGAAACACAAAACCTGTGGAGAGCCACAAGGGATATGGGGGGTGGAGGTCCATGATCGCCTACGTCCTGAAAGAACACAGCACATAAAAAAGAAAAGGTTTGAATGTTTTGGTCTCTCAAAGAGAAAAATATTGGGATTGGTTCGATGAACGTCATCTTTTGAATGTAAAACAATGATGTGCATGAAAAGATTTTGTGCATCATTGATTAAATCACTGAAAAAATCTAAATCATCGCTGCAGTACAAAATCCGTTAGATGTAATATCAGTAGTGGTTAAACTTTCCCTGCAGGCTATGTGCTTCCGATCTGAATAACTGTAAAACGTTATATCACCTGATTAAGCAGACATTTCGTTCACATTTCTCATTTATAGCGACACTCTAGTCAAATAACGGGTTCGTTTTTTGCAACGACCCAGAAGGTACAATGAAACGCTGAACTGAATAATTCACGGGTCTTTTTCTTGATCCGACAGTATTAAATGAAAGTATAACTTCCACAGTTGGATATCAAGGATGAGATATAGCATAATCCTTATTTGGAAGACATCTAGAAAACAATAAAAAAAGTAGCAGCAGTTCTTGTGTTCAATCAATATTCTATTTCATGGAGGGAACACGCTTGCTGTAGATGTACGTCATATGATTTTGGATGTTTGCTTATGAGAAACTCTACCTGAAAACTGGATTGATGCGATCATTATCTCTTTGTTTAAGAGGAAAGTATAAAAATCAGTGTGCTGGAACTATCCAACGATAAGCCTGTTTCAGGCTGTGGACAAGGATTTTGCAAATCCACTGCTTAATATGCTTACAAGATAGTTTCCGTCGAAAATGCTTAGAACATCGTGTTGCATTGTATGAGGTATTTGTCCATCTGATTTATGCCTTTGACTCCCAAAATAAGGATTCTCTCTGAACTATTCTCCGTAAGATACGATATCCACCAGAATTTTAATAATGGTCAAACAGTTTCACAGAGAGATTAAAGACCGTCTTAATTTCAATGGCTCTCTATTGGAACCCAACGCCATCGGCAATGGAGTTAAGCAAGGTGACATTCCTGCCCCATTTTTACTTTCTATTTGTTTGCTGTCGCTCATATGCATGGAGTCTATGATTGGGAAGTCGGCGTATACCTGCTTTTTAAGACCACGAGTAAATTTTTGTCGAGTTTCAAAGAAACAAAAAAAATGCAAAGGGTCGAGAGATACTCTGTGCTGAGATGCCGACCTTGATGTGCAAGTAAAAGGGCATGCACACCATAATGAACCATATTTTGAGAGCACGCTATGTGTTCGGGATAACCGTTAGTATAAAAGACTAAGATCATGTACACCTACCTTCCACAGAAACGCTAACCTAAAAATGTCTAACATAACATTTTCCTTCAGGGTCGGATTCTCGAGATTACCTTGGAACTAGAGTTGATTCTTTGGTTACCGAAATCCGTCGTAGAATCGACAAATCAAGCAAAGCCTTCGAAATCCTTCTGTAAGGGGGTAAAGCACACATCATAGAGAAACTGTTAATTAGTAATCAAATGTGCTGGTCACGGAGTGGAAGAATGGAAAATTTATTATATAGATTCGCCGATGGTAAGCGCCCATGGCACAAACGAGATTGAGATATGATGATTGCTTCAGGACACTCTGAAGAAGTCCAACGTCGTGCAAAAGGACGGAGGAAAAGAAGTGGCTTGAGGTCCTTTAACTGTGAGGAAAGCAGTTCACAATGGTAAGAGAAAATCTAAACAAAATAGTGTCTCGTGTGAAAAAAAATCAATAGATATATTACTAAGAATCTTGGGGCTAAACATCCCTGAAAATAAGTTCAGAATATGTCGTCTAACTTGTAAGGAAAGTAGTCCCATCTGTCTAAGTTGGAAGAACACCAAAAGCATCAGATTTGCCACACACAGGAAAAAAAAAGTACTTATTACAATTCTTGCAGAATATATGTAGCGGGAAAATGACCGCCTACCCTAACATTTCGAACTTTAAACCAATGCAGGAAAAACTGACAAATCCGCATTAGACATATCTAAGGATGGATTAACCTATGACATTGTGCGAATCGTTTTTCAGCCGAGACACACACACACACAAATACACGATGGAGACCACTATGGTGGTGTCAAGTTACGAGTTTATTATTATTGGTGTGTGAATAGATAGATAGATAGATAGATAGATAGATAGATAGATAGAGAATATTAGTGGTAAATATACACATACATATGCAAAACATATAAATATACATACATACATATATACATACATATATATTTATATTTGTATAAAAAAAATTCCAAGATGATAGAATAACTCAATGTCCAGGACAGAGTAAGGATATAATAAAAAGGCTTAAACACTAATATTCCATGGTCATAATTTATTCCATTGGAATCGTAAATACGAATTGGATAGTACTTACGATTCCAATGGAATAAATTATGACCATGGAATATTAGTTTAAGCCTTTTGTTATTTTATATATATATATATATATATATGTCATCGCACAGTGAGTGCTGCTAATAAAATAGTTTTCGATGTAAATTAACAGATATATATATATATATATATATATATATATATATATATATATATATATATATATACATTTACATATATATATATATATATATATATATATATATATATATATATATATATATACTTGAATGTAGAGATCAAGAGAGAAATGTATATATGCATGCATATGTCTGTATGTAGATTTGTGTTTGTGCGGGTGTGAGCACGCGCGTGTGTATATATTTTTATATTTGAAAGAAATAAAATGGTATTGTTAGCGTTTTTTTTTTTTTTTCTGTTATCGCTTTCGGTTTATTTTTGTATATGTTATCTTCTGTCTTTGCATTCTTAAATCATTGTTTAAACCGCAACGTATTGTTAATCCTGCATAAATATCCAATTACAATTTCCTCACTGCCGACGATCTTTTTTTTTTCATTATTTAATATGTAATATTTCTTTTAAATATATATTTCAGATTCCAAATCCGGGTTCCTAAATGCGGCAGCCCATTTCCACCATCCACAGTTACATATCCAACTCTACGAACTGAATATTTGTGAAAAAAAAATATTTTAATAACCATGCAAAAAATGGACAATATGTATTTCGAACAAATGGCAACCAATAGATCAGCTTCTTCAGATCTTCATTTCATTCACGGAGGCCCTGAGATAAGAGACCAGACTTTCGGCCATACTTGGTATTCCTTGAAATTGATTGACGTTCTGGAAACATATTACAAACCGACTCTCTCAACACTTGGTCTTTTGCTCAATTCCATATCTGTGGCTGTTTTCCTGCACACGGATCTTAACAGATTGGCTATCAGTCATTATCTGGTAGCTATTGGCATATTAGACAATTTCTATCTCATCACAGTTATTATTCCTTGGTTATCCCGATATGGCGTTGATCTCTTTACTACTATGGGTATTTGCCAGATTATTCTGTATTTGTCGCATTTCTCCTGTTTTCTATCTTGCTGGTACATGGCGCTTTCCATCATGCAACGTTGCGCGAGACTCTATTCTCGTGGCTTGCGTCGAAGGTTCGAAAGCGTCCTCCAGGCAAAGTTCATTATCGTACTAGTCGCTGTATTTGCTGGAGTCGGGTTTCTGCATGTCACCTGGACCCACGGTGTAGTTGATGTAAAAAGAAGGAGTGGAAGTTCAATTATCACGTCAACCAAGTGCACAATTTTACCAGAAGATGCGCCACAAATGCACGATCTCAAAAGAGTGGAACTGCTATTTTCGTTTGTCTTCCCTTGGATGGTAACCTTTTCATTCCTGTTCGTAAGACTCTCCCAGTTTTGCACCTGTCCGCACTGGCTCTGTCCGCCATCCAGCCAGACAAAATCTGAGATTGAGGGCAGTGCTGTACTTGCCAATCCTGTGAGTGGAGCTATCACTGCCCAGTGGAGTGTGCGGACCTTTGATCACGTCCCGAAACCGACTACGGAGAACTTGGATATCCTCATGAATGTGCCCTGCTTGACTATTACAGCTGTTTTCCTCATGTCTAGCCTTCCTTATTTATCAATGATGGTCATCGTGTGGTTTTTCGAAAATGGAGAGGAGGATGATTTTTTCTTGCCGCTCTTTAGAAATGTCTACCTGCTGCATTTCGTGTCCAAGTTTTTCGTTTATTTTATGTCCATTTCAGAATTCAGGCAGGGCATTGTGCTTGCTTTTGGCGGGTTGGCTACGCCAGAAATCAAAAAGGAGATTGCGTTGCAATCTAAAAGCTTGCCCCGTGTCAACAGCAAAACTCGAATGATCGACACCACTGACTTATAACATTTTACAGACTGATTCAAGTTCTATCTTACGTCGATTTCGAAAGCAAGTGTTGTTACCATCCCAACTTATTTTTTCGTTCCAAGTAGAAGATATACCCCCCTCAGATGTAAAACATACTTGTCATTAGCGAATTGTAATCGCCATCAAATAATTTCGATTTTCAATATAATAAATGCATCAAATAAAATAAACAATTTCACTTGAATGTAATGTAATCTGCCATCGGCCAGATTTAGTTGATAATGCTGTCATGTATATTATCAAGATTTACCTAACCGTTTCGCATGTACCACTATTCGATATTAATTTTGTATTTTGTCAGAATTTTCTTATTGTGATTAAAGTGAAATGTCAGTTCTTGAATATGATTCACATATCTTTTTTTTTCTATAAATATGATGTACATTCGAACAATATCCATCAGCGTAAAAAGCATATTCTTTTATGATATAAAGTAGCAACATGAATATTTATAAGAAAAAGAAACCATCCTTTTCATTACAGTAAACGTTTATTTCTATAATAAAACTGATAAATTCGTGTTGAATATAAAATATTAAGTGTACTTATAAAAATGAGCAAAGGGTGTCATATTCGTTATATAGTTCGGAATCTGAGGATAATATTAAAGATTTGTACGCATAAGTACATAGAGGATTGTATGAGACGAAAGACTTGGCCGAATAATACGACTGATGAATCCACAAATAAGTAACTACTAATAAATCAATGTTATCAGTCATTGGGGCGCCTCCATCCCCAAATATTCTATATTTGGAAGAGATTCCAAATTCATTGTCGTGCAGAGACATTAGTTACTATTAGAGAAACCTATGACTTCTGCAAAGAATTAATTGTAATGTTTATAAAAATGTCGTATTACATTACACACACACACACACACACACGCTAGTTCCATTAGGTTGGTGCAAAAATAATGACGTAATAATGTCGTTTTTTGAACTATTTTTAACGTCAAAAACGACATTCTTACGTCATTATTTTTGCACCAACCTATTACCTGTGTATAATGTAACTGGTCATCGAAAATGCATGATTTGTAACCTCTTTAAAAAAAATTTACCTGCATATAATACGACCCGCTATTTTTGCGTAAAAATGATCATGATATCTCACACTATAATCGAGTATATAGGTATATATACATATACAAGGTGGCAATAAAGTCACTATACAGTTACTTACATTAATAATTAAGACAAAAATTAATCACAATCTAAGAAGTTTATTATTAAAATCGTTCTTGTTGATTCTGGTTAATAACAATAAAATTCTATGTTAAATTAATTGCCGATAATGTTCGAGCTGCAAACCACCTCATTGAATGCATTGTTTTTTTGTTTGTTTTTTTTTTGGTTTTTATTATAAGTAACTGTATATGACATTGTTGCCACCCTGTTTATACTTATTGATGAAGTAATACTGGTGATAATAGTGAAATTTAACACACTATTCTTGCAGGCCGCTATGAACGAATTTCTAATTTTAAGACTGTTCGAACAGTGTGGCCGTGTTACTGAATATTTAAGCCCAGGTACAAGTTACATTACGATCAACTTACCTTGATATTAATGATTATCTCAGTGGGCGTCCGAGTTTGGAAATGCCAGATAACAATACCGTTGGTTCACTAATTCTTGTGGTTGTAAATTGAGTAGGCCAAATTGGGACGAACCCATAGGTTTTATTTTTTCTATCACGAAGTCACAACTCATCGTTATCGACAGCTTAGACGGCATAAACAAGAGATTTTTATCTGGGACCGCTGAAATATATTAGAAGTGCTGCCTTCAACAGAGATTATATTTTTTATAACAAGCTAGTATCATTTGGGAGAATAATTTTATTCTCTTTATCTAACAATATTCATAAAAATTAATTCCATAATAGAACAGAAACATTTGTCAGAAAGTAAATATCTAAAAAGAAAACAAAATAGACAAGGTCAGTAATATAATTACGTCATAAGATGAATTTTTGTAACACATGATGTAAAAGATTTCTTCATAATTTCTACAGTCAAAGAAAACCGATTCCTTCATGCAACATTTTTTATGCCACAATTCCTGCAATATAAAAATGTAGACAAATATATGTAGATATTGCTTTCATAAATATTTAAAAAATATTTTGTCGATAATGAATTTCAGTCCATTTGCATTTCATTATAATATAATTATTATGGAATTGTTGGAAAAGAACTCCCACTAAAAGTAACTGGAATGTGTGTGGGGTGCATGCATATGTGTATCTGTGTGCATATGCGTGGATGTGCGTGTATGTGTGTATATATATATATGCAAACAAAATAACGGATATCCCAATGCGAACGATAATAGTAAAAAGATCACCACAACCAATATATATATATATATATATATATATATATATATATATATATATATATACACACACACACATATATATATATATATATATATATATATATATATATATATATATATATATATATATATATATATATATATATATATATATATATATATACTTGGTCTATATACTTGATATATTGTTGAAGCTTAAATATTCAGCATGGAATAATACAACACAAATGTACGTTAACAAAATGTAAAAATTGAAAACAAAGAATAGGTATAATAATATTTACAGTTAGTTTGGTATATTCTTGGGAAGACTGTTCCTGCATAATGGGTTGACTAAATCGCAGTCGGGCAGAGTCTCTTTTCAAGGATTCAATTTCTTAATTGCTCTACTATCTTCCCCTCATTGATTCCGGTACCAACCCATATTTATATGGTCGGTAGTCCAACTTATAAACAATAAATTTTTAGACGAAAGTGTTATTATAAAAATACAACACCATATATATATATGTATACTTGAGATATATATATATATATATATATATATATATATATATATATATATATATATATATATATATACTACAGCATTTTGACACGAAGCTATGTATGCCGACGTGTGTGCGTTTAAATATTTGTGTCTGGCTATATTCAGCAGTATATTTTTATGAAAAGATTTCTCAAATATTCAGGCGGATATATGTAGTTGTGTAAAAATGCCGTTAAAACAAAAAAAAAACCACACACACACATTATACTCCAAATTATTACCCATCAAAAATAATATTTAAACAAAAATAAATTAAATATAAATTCAATATGTCAGATTTAATCCATTTCCTGAATCTATCTATCTATCTATAAAAATATGTATATATATATATATATATATATATATATATATATATATATATATATATATATATATATATATTTCATTGAATAAACAGAAAAATCTCCTCCATAACGTTTTATGGCTTTGATTCCGTCTTTTATACAATTTTCCATCATGTCATCTAATATATTTTTTCTTTTAAACTGATAAATTATATAAAAACTGTCCGAATGTTCTTTTTATACGAGCGCTTTCGGATATACATTTAGCCATTTTCAAGGTTGAAATATTTAACTGTTAAATAAAAGATAGTTTGTTGCATGTATGTATTTATATAACGCTTTTCCTTCAAGAATTAAACAACGTAAAACAAAGACGTATCAAAAACTGATTTCCTAATCAATTTTTGGATTTCCATATTAGGCGTTTTTTTTTTCATCTAAGATAACTAATTCCAACGATGAGAATAGAAACGTAAACAATAATATTTTTTATAAAAAAGACGAAAGTACAATTAAGAACATTATAAAAATGTACAACACCTGTTGATAATAGCAAAAAGCTTTATTATTTATTACAAAAAAATTAACACCTCTAACCTTATAGTTAAAAATAATAATATACCTCTTAGAAGAAAATTAAATAGAACAAATATAATTTACGAATTTAAATGCCTATTAAGGAATTATATTCTTGATCAATCAAAATTCGTAAATAATTATATAGGCCATACTACAGCATGTTTGACACGAAGACTCATCTTCACCTTTGAATCTGATCATAGCTAAAATTAAACATCATCATTTAAATATTCATGGATACCTACCGGAATTAAAACCTATTCGTTAAAATATTTAAATATAAAACAAAATTTAAATATGATGGCATCATTTACATGCCAAAAATCTAAAAATAATTGACGACTTATTAATAAAAACAAAAAACAACACTCAATAGCATCAACTATGAACATGGACACAATAACTTGACCGTGTTTTGAAAATGAAAACATGATATAAATACATACATGCAACAAACTATTTCTTATTTAACAGTTATAATATTTCAGCCTTGAAAATTGTTAAATGTATATCCGAAAGCGCTCGTATAAAAAGAACATTTCGACAGTTTTTATATAATTTATCATCTAAATAGAAAAAAATATATATTTGATCACATGAGAAATTGTTTAAAAAGCTAAATCAAAGCAGCTTTTCTGACTTATTCAATGAAATGTACATGAAAGAAGGATTACTGCATAATACACACACAAACACATAAACACAAAATTGCACACACACATATAAAATATATATGATTTTACTAAATGTTTATGTGAATAAAACTATATTACTATATAATATATATATATATATATATATATATATATATAATCAACATTATAATAATATAATAAAAACAAAAGTAGGAAAAATATTTTTTTAAATTAATTGAAAACCACTTCCATAATAATTGTAATCAATCAAAGACTTTTGTAAAAAGACAGTCGTAGAGGGTATCCGAATGCAGAAATGCAAAACTAAATCTCCTCCATAAAATAATAGCGTTTTATCAACGGCAGCCATCAGAAGAAAAAAAACAAAAAGATCTAAAAACTTTAAAAACAATTATATCTGTCCATTGTTTGACATTGTCCAACCATCTACTAAGTTTTCCATCAACAGTGCCTTGCATGATGGTCTTGCACCGACTATAATAATTTTAATCATAGACGTAGACCGTTTAATGCGCCCAAACCACACTATTTTTCTCAGTTTGACAGTGTCCATAAGAAG